TCTGTACTGGAAGTATCTCAGAATTCTCCCTTCAGTGTTTATGTCCTCCAACAAATGGATAAATGCGTTAATCCTCTTTTTTCCCTGTAGCTTCACTTCTGGAACGGATGTGAACAGGAAGACACCTGTGTTCCTGACCTCATCCTCCATAGTCACACCGACCTGATGAGTGCTCAGTGAGTAACCCGGTCTCCACTAAACTAATCCCTCACGTGTATCCGTGTAAATTATTAAGAGACTGGTAATTATTTCTTTGCTTCACCTGTAGGCAGTTCTGCAGGTTGAACAGACGGGCTGCCAGCTCCATCTGCAGCCACCAGGGGGTGCCTGAGAAGCAGCCGTTTGTCGTGGAGTCTGAGCGAAGGAGGATGGTGGTGTTTGCCCGACTGGAGAACCAGGGAGAGAACGCATACGGCGCTGCCATCCACATCTCCACCTCCTCCAACCTGATCTTCTCCAGCCTCTTAGTGAAGGTACTCAAACTTTCTGTCCTCATCTTAAAAAGGTCAAAGTGCATGCTGGATTCATGTTATGCCGCCTCATCCCTCAGGACCAATCAGATATCCAGATTGAGTGCTCCTCTGAGGACAGACTGGCGACCCGGAGGATCTGCAACATCAGCGCGCCATTCATGAAGTCGCTGTCTCAGGTAGGGCAGAGCTATTTTCATTCAAATTATGATTTTGGGATGAAAAAAGGATCGACCACCTGCAGCTTCCTCATTGTTTATTATTGTTGCCCTGATACAGCAGCCCTTTGTTTAGGGTGATGGAGCTTCTTCCTCCTACATATGTGGACAGGTTTGAACATCACAGATAAACAGCAGATAAACAGGTTATTAGCTCATCATACCGCTGTTATACAGCCAGACTAATAACAGTGATTAAACTGGGCAGAAATATGCTGCCAATGATAGCTGCTGACTAAAATCCTTCATTACCTTAACGAGTGTCCCTGTAAACATGACCGTGATCCCCACCCCTCACTGTGAGGCCCCTCAGGGCTGCTGTGTGTTGGAGATTATTTCCAGCTTCCTCTTAAAAAGGCTCCGGCTGCTGGTTGGGGGGAGAACACAGCCGGAGGGAAAACGGGTTCAGCCGCAGACGACGGCGGGCTGCAGTGGAAAATAAAATAAATAAAAAACAGAAAGCAAAGAAGCTCCACACGATGATGTGATGGAGCAGACATTTAACGTTCTGACTAAAATGTTCTAATTAAGGATGTTAGGCCAGGAGAAGGAGACGATTAAATGTTTTTGATCCTGAGAGGATGAATTTGCACCTGCTCCTTTCCTGTCCAGGTAACTTTCAATGTGGAGTTTGAGTTCAGCCGCTACATCTTCCTGGATTACGTACATGTCGTCATGGTAACTACCAGGTAAGACAACTGAACATGTGTAATGTGATGTCACAGAAGTAAGTTAGGATTATTATTTTCTGTCCTCTGACGAGATTTTATATAACAATATTAAGGAGAACAAAAACTCCATCCTGTGATTCACAGGGTAGGATCGGGGCGATCGGGGTAGGATCGGGGCGATCGGGGTAGGTTCGGGCAATCGGGGTGGGATCGGGCGATCGCGGTAGGATTGGGGCGATCGGGGTATGTTTGGGCGATCGGGGTAGGATTGGG